TTAATACAAGATCTCTTGCTTTCCTTTGACTTTTAAAAAAGAGATAAATGTATTCATTATATACCTAGTTGGGGATAATAGAAAAGTTTGTTTCACATATATACACTTACCTAAATTATTCTGAATATTATGGAAAGGTTTCCCATATTTTTGTCTGTAATTAGCTATGAATATTACCTAGTATGATAGATACTTGTACATTTGTATTATCTTTCTAGCTATGCTTTGTAAGGAGGGGGAAGGGATTTTATTTACCACTGAATCTCTAACATTGACTGTTATAGGGCATCTCTTAGAGAAAGTTCACTTATTTAACAAATATTATGAAGTATCTATTAAACCCTATGTGAAGCTTTAGGAATGCAAAGGTGAACAGAAACTGGTTGTGTGGATGCTTTCTTTAGACCCATAGAGAAGACCAATACTAATCAAATCATCGCACCAACAGATGTCAATTGAATAACAACAAACACTGTGTGTGTGATTAAGTGACATCTCTTATATAAGCTATTTTCAAAGTGACTAATGAAGAAAATCCTATAACACAGTGACTGAATCAGAGCTTCAAATTCTCAGTATCAGAACCCAGTTCACATTTTTTAAAAATTTAAATCCAAGTCAGTTATCATAAAGTCAAATAATGATTTCAGGAATAGAATTTAGTGATTCATCACTTATATATAACACCCAGTGCTCATCCCAACAAATATCCTCCTTAATGCCCATTTCCCATTTAGCTCATCCTCCCCACCCAACACCACACCAGTTTGTTTTCTGTCTTTAAGAGTCTCTTAAGGTTTGTCTCTCTCTCTGTTTTTATATTATTTTTGCTTCCCTTCCCTTATGTTCATCAGTTTTGTACCTTAAATTCCACATATGAATGAAGTCATATATTTGTCTTGCTCTGACTGATGTATTTTGTTTAGCATAATACATTCTAGTTCCATCCACATTGTTGCAAATGACAAGATTTCATTCTTTTTGATTGCTGAGTAATATTCCATTGTTTATATAGACCACATCTTCCCTATCCATTCATCAGTCAATGGACATTTGGGTTCTTTCCATACTTTGCCTACTGTTAATAGTGCTGCTATAAACAATGGGGTGTATGTGCCCCTTCAAATTAGCACTACTGTATTTCTTCACTGGATTCTTTGTTTTTTTGGGTGTTGAATTTGATAAGTTCTTTATAGATTTTGGATACTAACCCTTTATCTGATACATCATTTGCAAGTATTTTCTCCCATTCCATCAGTTGCCTTTAAGTTTTGCTGATTGTTTCCTTTCCTGTGCAGAGGCTTTTTATCTTGATGAGGTGCAAATAGTTCATTTTTGCTTTGGTTTCCCTTGCCTCTAGAGACATGTAGAGTAATAAGTTGCTATGGCTGTGGTCAAAGAGGTTGTTGCCTGTTTATTCCTTTAGGATTTTAATGGCTTCCTGTCATACTTTTGGGTCTTTCATCCATTTTGAGTTTATTTTTGTGTATGGTGTAAGAAAGTGGTCCAGGTTCATTCTTCTGGATGTCACTGTCCAGTTTTGCCAACACCATTTGCTAAAGAGACTGTCTTTACTCCATTGGATATTCTTTCCTGCTTTCTCAAAGATTAGTTGGCCACACGTTAGAGGATCCAGTTCTGTGTTCTGTATTCTCTTCCAATGATCTATGTGTGTCTAGTTCTTCTGCAAGTACTATACTGTCTTGATGAATACAGCTTTGTAATATAGCTCGAAGTCTAGAACTGTGATATCTCCAGCTTTGGTTTTCTTTTTCAGGATTGCTTTGGCTATTTGGGGATTTTTCTGGTTTCACACAAATTTTAGGATTATTTGTTCAAGCTCTGTGAAGAATGTTGGTGTTATTCTGATAGGGATTGCATTGAATATGTAGATGGTTTTGTTTAGTAACAACATTTTAACAATGTTTGTTCTTCCAATCCATGAGCATAGAATGTTTTTTCATATTTTTGTGTCTTCTTCAATTTCTTTCATAAGCTTTCTATAGTTTTCAGTGTATAGATTTTTCACCTTTTTGGTTAGGTGTATTTTCTAGCTATTTTATGGTTTTTGGTGCAAGTGATTCCTTGATTTCTCTTTCTGCTCCTTCATTATTGGTGTATAGAAATGCAACCGATTCCTGTATACTGGTTTTATATCCTGTGACTTTGCTGAGTTCATGGATCAGTTCTAGCAGTTTTTTGGTGGAGTTTGGTGGATACAACATAGAGTATCATGTTGTCTGCAAAGAGTGAAGGTTTGACTTCCTCCTTGATGATTCGGATGCCTTTTATTTCTTTTTGTCAACTGATTGCTGAAGCCAGGATATCACATACTATGTTGAATAACAGTGGTGAGAGTGGACATCCTTGTTGTGTTCCTGACCTGAAGGGGAAGCTCCGGGTTTTTCCCCATTGAGGATAATACTAGCAGTGGGTCTTTCATATATGGGCTTTATAATCTTGAGGTATTATCCTTATATCTCAACTTTCTTGAGAGTTTTTACAAAGAAAGTATGCTGTATTTTGTCAAATGCTTTTTCTGTATCTATCGAGAGGATCATGAAGTTCTTATCCTTTTTTAAAATTATTAATGTGTGGTATCACATTGATCTAGTCCACATTTTTCTCCAATAGTTCATACAGAGTTTCTTTCAGAAATAATTTTTGAAGAAAAGAGTTTACCAACAGGTACTTCACATCATGTTTTAGAACTTGGAAACATTGTCATTATCATTGGAAACACTGTCACTATCACACAGGTCAAAAGGCATCTTCTTGGTGGTCTCATGAAGGTGAATAGTCTTACAGAAATGTAAATATATTCAAAGCCATTTTGTGGGAATATGAACCCTGATAATGAATATAGTTTTAAACCAAATGTCAGAATAAAAGAAAATTTATTGAATAGAAGCATGTATTCATTAATTAAGCAAATATCTATCAAACATCTACCATGTGCAAGTATGTCCCAGGCCTTGCAAACAGAGCACTGAAAATCCCTGTACATGAAAGTCCAAGGGGATAGCATAAGGGTGAGGCATATGATAAATAAACAAACAGACCACTTAGAGACTTCTGATTCTCTGCATAGGCAGCATCCCACAATGGTCAGTACTTGCTTGCTCATCAAAACAATATGGACTCTTTATCTAACCAACAGAGACCAGAAGCAAGCAGTATCTCCAACTTAATTAGATATCCTCTGCTGACTATATTGTTGCCATTAGTCTATTCTCCTCTATCCTTTTCTTGACAGTGATTTTCAACCTAGTTTATCACAGACCTTATTTGCTACCTCCATCATTCCAAAAGCCTACACATTCAGTAGCCAACCTAAAGAAAAGGGGAGACTTTTCTCTATCTGCAATTTATATCTACCTCTACGTGTTAGCTTGAGCTTCTAAGAAGTAGCTGGGGTTTTAAAATGAAAGCTTACTCCCACCACAGAAGCAGGATAAAACTGTCTACATCTAGTCCACAGAGATCTAGTCCTGCATCCCTAATCATATGATTTCAAGTAAATCCCCAAAGAAAGCCATTTTGTCTCTTCCAAAGCAGCTTGAATGCTTCCAAAATGTCAGAGATTCTCCAGGTGCAGATGGTTTTTGTATTAGTTTTATTATGGCCACTACCATGCTTAGAGGCTTCAAAACTATAGAATAGAAAATAACCTCTTGTGCCCTTCCAAACACTGGAAGGAAGGAAGGAAGGAAGGAAGGAAGGAAGGAAGGAAGGAAGGAAGGAAAGGAAAGGAAAGGAAAGGAAGGAAGGAAGGAAGGAAGGAAGGAAGAGAAGAGAAAACACACCAGCAAAATAGCTTCAGAACAAACACATCATTTCCAGAAAAGACATCCAATTATATAGACTCTGATTACTGGTAATAACTTGGAAGTCTTAAGAAATTTAACAACTTCAGCTCAAAACAATTAAATTGAACTGCTGATGATACAATCACCCCCTAGACTCAACATAGCTGCAGATGCAGAAAAAGTGAGAAGGCTTACTGATTCATTGTCCCTTCTGTTCCCAGTCCCTAATGCCAAACACATCAGATGGCAAATATTAAGCCTTTGTTAAAACTAGAATTATAGGAGAAGAGTTTTTTTAGTGGCATTATTACATTTGATTTTTTAATTTTGAATCTTGGATTTTCCAAACCTATAGAACTGATAATGTAAACCCATAAGAAAAACTTTCCATTCCATGTATGTATATATGTATTTCATTTATGTAAGTCAAAACATGAAAACTAGGCCTTCAACTAATGGACAGTAACTTAAAGGTCATTTGGGTAATGCAAACTTCTTTATCAATAAATCTTTTTCATTAAGAATATGAAGGTTTTCTGGACAAGAGGCTTATTCTATATTAATATTAAACAACCTTCGTCACATATATTTCTTTCATGTATCAATGGCTTGAACTTATAATCAACTGGGAAAATTCTTTAAAGGGACCCTACCACTTCCTTGAACACTGCATTAAAACTCACAGAGGAAACTTTCTGCTCTCAGCAATGTGTATCTATGAGAAGGAGCTCCAAGCAAAAGAAATGGAGTTTGTTGTACAAACAGTGCTAATTCATCATTTAATGAAAAGGTAAGTAGTACATCACTGCCTTATCTGTAGAACATATACATTGCTACATAAGTTTTGAGAGTGGAAAGCTACCTTCTAACAAAATCTTCATGGGGTTTTGTATGATTAAATAATATCACTGGTGAAGGAATGATTGAAGGAATTAATGGCTTAGTTTGGTGAGATTAAGCAAACTCTTCTGTGATTTTTGTCAAGACAATGAGATACACTGAACCACTTCTTATTGGCAGGCAAATAAATCTCTGTGTTATGAGAAATGGAATTTCATTTAGTGATTGGAGAGATCTATCCCTTCTGTTCACAAAACCACTTGTAAAATGAATACATTTTCCAAGTTCTGAAATAATATTTTTTCTTGGGAAAAATAAGAGACCATTATACTTAAAAAATATATCACTCACAGACTCCTTTCCCATCTTCTTTTGTAGTCGTGTTTGCCACTGGACAGCTTGCATGACAATGGCTTCCCATCTTCTTTCAAGATTTACAATGATCAGTTGCATGGGCTGGTGGTCTGCATTCAGATTGCAAGTATCCCGGTCATCCAGAAGATGCTGGCACAATCGCAGGATGGAGGCCACTCCACGTCGTCTCTGTTTGATTTCACCACAGAGGGACTGCAACACAGAAAGGGATTGATCCATGGATGTTTATAAAGCAGAATTCCCCCAAATTGAAACACCTTTTTCCACCATAATTTCAAATTATAGTGATATGCTCAGCTATAAACAATAAGACAAGAAGGGGTCTGGAGTTGCCTTTAGATTGGAGATTGTCTATTGATACTCAACTAATGCCAAATAATTTAGCTGCATCCCATTCCTCTTCCCTTTCCTTCAATAATTTCTCCATCTAAAATGTTGAGTCCCACCTAGATACCTAGGTGATTAACAACTTATAACTTAATGTAACTTAGGTCATATGAATACCAAACAGATTGACACCCTTTGATTCTAGGTGACAGGAAACACAAAAGATAGAGAAGTGCCCCAAAAGGAAATGGAATTTTTCCAAATTCACTCCTAGATTTTTTGAAAGTTTAGTTTTCTACCGGCTGGGAATAAGTTAAATAAAATTGCAAAGAAGTTTCATATATAACATCTATTATTGGGGAAAAAAGGATAAGCAACATTTCTTTTCCAAAGCTTGATTAACAAAGCAATAATGTTCTGACAACAGCAATTAGGATACTGGATTATTACTGCACTATTTGTTGGTTGCTGTTTCTTTTAATAGACATTCTCACAATTTAAGAAGGATATGCATGCATCAAAATAGCATTTTGCCCCTAGAAGCATTTGTATTACTGCAGTGACCCTAAGCTGAATGATTCAAGCAAAATAGTGGGTACACATGTCTAAAAATATTATATCTTTTCTTTGCCTACGGATAGTGTGTAAGTGATATTCTAATTCAAAGCCTTCAGGAAAAATGATGATTATATCCACAAACATCACTGAATTACTAATCTCCTTCTACTGCTACAATTGGACTGTTCTAACAGTTAACAGATTGCTTATTAATCAACAAGGGTAAACAAGACAATGCAATTTCATTTAGTGTGAGAGTTTTAATGCCTAAAAGTATTTGTGCTTAAAATGTTAATCTAGATAAGGCTTCATTAGTAGAAGTCTTAAAATGATTAAGTGCAGTTCATTGAAATGTGCACAGAGTGGTAGTAGATCAGCAGGTGGACATTTCATACAGATGTCCCACTTATTGATATAATACATGCTGCAGCCATTTAAATGACCCTAACTCAGTAATAGCTGAAATTCTATTATTTCTGTAATGAGAGAACACTGTACCTTTAATATTTCTGAATTTTAAATAAGGTGAATGACAAATTCCCAAACCTCTATTTATGGCAAAATATGACTAGGAATTTTATTATTCAATTTATACCAGTGCAGCATTTTTAGTTATGTTTCCTGAACCTACCCTTATTTATTTTCCTAGCATTCATTATTATTTTCCTACATAACTCCTAATATAACCACCAGGTCTGACAAATTTCTTTACTGATGCTATTCATTTGTTCAAGGCTCTGAATGAGGAAAAATCCCCTAGACATTCAAAGATAAAATTTGAGGGCCTACCAAAGTAAAAAGCATTGTTTCCATCTTCGCCAACCCTGCTAACTGCCCCCCTCCTAAATGCATTCTTTCCCTCTCCTTCTCTCTCTCTCTTTCTCTCTCTCTCTTTCTCCCTCTCTCTCTCTCTCTCTCTCTCTCACACACACACACACACACACACCCTTCAATTTGCTCTCTTGCTCTAGAACTGTTGAGCAATTCAAACTATGAAGCCCAACTAATACCTGACAAATTTTGGTCCAATATTAACACTTTAAGATAATAATATAGCCAACTGAAATTGGTTGAAATGAGTTCTGTGAATATGAATATTGGGGATTTCAATTTCTGTTTTTGTTTTGTTATAAATTTCTTAACAATAAAGGGCTAGAAAAATCAAAAGTGGTATTTCAATGGCATAAAAAAAAACTGGATCTTGCAAAACTCTTTTTGAAAATGACTAGACTAGTAATTGCATTAATCAATCCAGCAAAAAGTCCCTGTGTCTCTCAGCCAAATGAAAACCATGGATGGCACTAAAAGTATGTGTGCAGCTAGCACAGCCACATTGATAACATTTACAAAGTAGCCCAAATGGGCTTCATTCACCTTAAAGCCATTTTCAAAGTTCTGAAACGGGGCATGCGAGATCACTAGGGGAAATTTTCATAAAGGTCATTGGCCATAATCTTTTTATGAGTATCTGAAATGTACCCAGTATTTAAGCATCCAGATGATCCTTAACCACATCTTAATGTGAGTCAGTCCAGGTAGTTTAAAAACTGTGAAAGCTCTTTTTGATGTTCAATATAGGATTTGATTCAATGTTGACATTCACTACCTAATTTTTGGATCTTCACAAATCTACAGTTTTTGGCATTTTTTTACTTTAAGTACCTAAAGAGCTTAGTCTACATTCTAGATCAATAATTTGTCCTATATATACATTGGGAAATAACACTACTTTAAACAGGAGGTAAAAATTGAGAATTTTAAATGCCCAAATATTTTTGATACTTTTTAATGTGTAGGAGATATAACTGATAAAATAACATTCTTCTACATGAGTTTCCATGACAACCATTAAAATATACATATTTATTTATAATCACAAACACATACTAAATAAAACCAGTGCATTTTCTGGCAATGTTTCTTAGAATCAGTAGTTTATGATACTTCTATGATAAACTATGCACAGAGAAATGTTAAATATAACTACACAGAAACAAATAAGTATTGTAACTATTCCTGGCTTACATTTTCAGAAGAAAGTACTTTTAAACACAAATCCAAACTAAATAACCTAAGTAAGGCACTGAAATAAGATAAACTAATCCCTGTCTCTCAGACCTCCTCAAATGTACATTGTACCTTCCATCTGCTAGGCACTGTTTTAGGCATGGAGGCTTCAAAAAGGAGCAAGTTACTGTTCTTTCTCTCAAGGAGCTGAGAGTCAACTAAAGGTGGACTACTCACAAATAAGCATGTAGAGAGAGATCTGTTAACAGAAGTTTGTGCAAGTTGCTTTTGGAGGAGTTGGTGAAATCTCCATGGAAACAATGGGAATCAGATGGTCCAAGCTGAATAGTTGTGGTTATAAAAAGAGTAGGGTCGGGAAGCAAGTAGCCTGGGGTGGCGGGAGCACCTAGTGTGTTAGGGAGAAGAGACAGTAAAGCAACTGGACAGGAAGTAAGGAACAGAAAACTTTGGAATGCTTTTCATTATTGCCAATTATGAAGCATTTTCCTTGATATCTGGTGAGATCATACTGGTTTTCAAGCATAGTCATATTGCCTTCACAGAAAAGTATAAAGAGTAAAGAAAATTTAAAAAGAAAGAAAAAAATCCCACTAATTATCAGTATGTCTGTACTAGTTGTCCTATTATTTAGTAATTGTTAGGCAATTTCTTCTTAGAAGACTACCTCTTAGTATGGAGAACATTGTCTTGTATCATTTCAGAATCCAAGTGGTGGAATATAGTTTGATGTGCTACTTTTAAATTTATAATAATCTCTTTTATTTTCTTTATTTTGCATTTCTACTCAATTTCCTCATGTTATTAAAAAGGCAGGCTTGCTATGAGAAGTGTAGAAAAGTAAACATCAAAATTTCTTAGTCACTGTTTTCCTTTAAAACAATCAGATATCTAACCCTTTAAACACATCTTTTAGGACGTGTTCCAATAGGGTTGCCAACAGGCTGAAGGTTTTTATATTACACGTATAAACTGTCGATCTGGTTTCCAATTAATCAGTGGTGATACAAAGGAATGTTTTTGGTATATCTGGAGGGGTTTCTTTTATTTATTTAAAAAAATTAACATTTTTATTCATTTTTGAGAGAGAGGAGACAGAGTATGAGCAGGGGAGGGGCAGAGAGAGAGGGAGACAGAATCTGAAGCAGGCTCCAGGCTCTGAGGTGTCAGCACAGTGCCAGACACAGGGCTCGAACTCATGAACTGTGTGAGATCATGACTTGAGCTGAAGTAGGGCACTTAACTGACTGAGCCACCCAGGAATCCCTATTCATTTTTTTTTAATGAGGGTATTTCTTTTTCCTCTCCTGACATTCTGTCAACCTTTTTGACTGTTTAAGCCACTCTATTATTAAGCCAAGTGTGATGTAACATCCTTTTTGACACTGGCTTCAGTTTAACGCCATTAAAGACTTCTAATACTGATACTTTATTTTTCATTATATATAAAACATACAAATATACACACACATATTGTATAATATGTTTATATTTACTTGTATATCCATATTCTTGACATTATAGTGTCATCTACTGTCACAGAAGGATACAAATAAGCTTGCAAGAAAAGAACTATAATTAGACCAAAACCAAACCACACAATAAGTCAAATGTAAGAACTAGAGAAAAGAGAGATGAGGAGGAAAATAAAAATTTAAAAATGCTAAAAATAAGCAGGAAAAAAATTTATTTAAGCAATTCCAGGGGCGCCTGGGTGGCTCAGTCGGTTGAGCATCCGACTTCGGCTCAGGTCATGATCTCACGGTTTGTGGGTTTGAGCCCCGCGTCGGGCTCTGTGCCAACAGCTAGCTCAGAGCCTGGAGCCTGCTTCAGATTCTGTGTCTCCCTCTCTCTCTGACCCTCTCCTGCTCATGCTGTCTCTCTCTTTCTCAGAAATAAATAAAACATTAAAAAAAAAGAAACTCCAAAGCAATTTGTCTCTATATCTCTTACATAATTTTATTTAGCAGGTTAATGTAACATCTTTAAGTAGGTCAATATGAACAAAGTGATAGGACTTTAGGTGATCTGTCAAATAAAAACTATTTATGAAGCAATTCCATTTATAAGGTCAAACATAAGTTTGTTTTCTAGATTGATCAATTTTTTAGCAATGCCTATTGAGTAGGCCATCTCTGTAGCAATCACAATTAAGAAGTATCAATCTGCATATATGCTACATAGCTGCCTTCACTCTAGTCAGAGTGAGGAAATAAGAGAGAGCAAAAAAGTGAAAAAGACATGTAAGTTCCTCTGGCTTAAATAGTCACAAGTAAATGGCT